TTCATAAGCACGCCGCTTACAACTTATGCACGCACACATTTACTTTTGGCGTCAGTTTGCTCACCGCACTCAGCGCTTGCCCGCAGACACACAAACATACAACCATACTCACTACTACATGTATATAGGTATGTAGATTTAGCGCCCCGCTTTCAACTATATATGTGGGTCAAGTATCTTAAATGGCTCCCAACAGTCACTTCTGCGTTGGCATTTCACGTAGCCTCGGGCCACACCTCGCCCACTCGTAAGCTCGTGTTGCCTTACCAGCCATAACAACAACAGCACATTAGCGCATGCCGCAGCATCAACTGCATAGTTATAACAATAAACTTAACTTTCGTTTTACTGTTATACTTCAAGTTCCTGCCCAGTCATCCTTAGTTATGCGCGTCGCCTGCGTCACTGCTAAGTTGCCTGCAAACTTTCCTTGGCAGCTAATAAAGTTGGAAAAGTGTTGTTGTTGTTGTTGCTGTAGCAAATGTTATACGTGCCTTTTGCCAATTGGCCGGCGTCAGCGGCGAGCGCAGGAATTAGCTGGAAAACTAAACGAAATTCTGAAATAATTTTAATTTAATTTAAGACCGGCTGCAACAATTTCAAAGAATTTTGTAGTTATGTTTGCGCATTCAAGGTTCACCCATTTCAATCTCGGTATTTGTTTATCGTATTTTCCCTTTCATTCATAATTTATTAGAGCGTACATATTTTTGCTGCTGTTGGTTGGCGACGGTGGAAGTGCGCAAAGTAGCAACAGGTCGGGAAATTATTTGAGTGGCAAATAAAGTTTTTGTATAGGCTCATTCATTATTTTAAACAATGATTTCTGTGTTTTGGTCATTCCCTGGCGTTTACCTGCATACACATGCACAGCTTTTCGAAGGGACTATATATATTATATAAGCTTAATAATTGTTTGATTTATAGAAATTAATTAACTTTAAATACATTTCATTCCAACAATTTTGTCATTAAATTTTTGAAAAGAATGTGGAAACAAGTAGCTTAGGTCGTAAAATTGATCAAAAAATCGATGGATTTCACTTGGACAGATATTTGCCCTTTGTGTTACTCAAAAACTACTTAATGTGCAACACGTTTTGGATCGACGAAGCGTTTTGAGCTTAGCACAAATTTATTAAGACAGTCAATATCAATCCCAGCCACTTCGCTGGGTTCTACAAAGTGGTGTCTACCGAGAAGAAGCAAAATCCGGGCAATAGAGGAGAAAGTGACAGGATAATTCTACGTCGCCATCCTCCATACAGCTGTGGCAAAGACCTTCCAACAAAATATTTAGTCTACAATTGCAGCGACATTGATTTGCTAAGTGAAAGCAGTGCGGGAGTCCTCTTACGACTCACTTTGAGCCTGAAAGGTCTCGCTGTCGCACAAGTTGACTGGTTTTAAGCGCACAATGAGTAAGTCGCTCAGCTATCGGAGTGAAGTGCACACCTCTTTGAAAGAGGCTGTAAAGCGTAGCAGTATATGTATCTAGCGATACCTTGATGGCAGCCATCTCCACTTGAAAGGCGCTACAGTGCTCTGTTAGCCTGAAACTAGAGTTTATGGAAATCTCCCGAAAAAAGATTCCACCTGCTACCCTACCTATTAACTTCGATCCATCCATAAAAAGGCTTACTGCAGCACTCTTAAACAGCTTCGCCCTGCCCACAAATCACTCGCAAGTGTGATCTCTCTGTGTGAGCAGAGAAAAAATCGCTAAAAGAAGGTTCCGTGGTGCAGTGATCTAAATTCTAAGGAATGCAATAGAAGTAGTAGGAAATTTCAGTGTGTCCCTGCCGGGATAGAACAATCTGATTTAGGTCAAATATGCACTGTTTTGTTCCATAGCCAAAGCTGATCGTTTCTGGGCAATTGCTGTCGGTCTAATTTTTGACAGTATAGATCCAAATTAAGTGTTTGGTCGTAGGAGAGCAGCTCATAGGATATATTGGATATAATGTGATTAGGGAAAGCTATAAACTGTTATTATTAATTTTTAAGTTCATAAGCAAACTTAAATAATTATGGAAGAGAGTGTTTACATATGACTGGGATCTTTGCGTTTAAATAAATAATAATTAATTAGGAACTTGTCGGTATCCTGATTCCGTCTTCGTTTTCGTGGTAACTTAATTGTTGCTTGGACAACTGCAGTGAAATCTGCAAGGCTTGTCTTAAAAATCTAAAATTCTTATACATTTTAAGATTACTGTTCAAGATGAAACCAGTTCCTGTCGCAAAAATATTTCCACAAAAACAAGTAAAATAGCTGCAACAAGTATCAAATTCGGATATTAGAATTCGTAAATCGCGTAAAACCGTTGGAATATTGTACTTCATGTGGATTATAGTTACACATTGTACCTACTTATGTAGATAGCATTTCCCAACATTTCCCAACATTTTCAAGGGTAAAAAACCCTACTGGAAAATGCAAAAGTTCTGTTAATCGCTTAAGCTCTAAACATTAAGCCATGTAAGCTGTCTTCGATTTGTCATTTCTCTACCCGCTTCGGCTCTCTTGTCAAAAACACTATTTTTAAAACTAAAAACTTTAAATCAATTTATAGAAAATAAAACTAAAGCGTTACTGAAACATTTTTTAATGCGAAAAACAAAGAAATTCTCTACTGAGAAAAAAAATCGTAACACTATTGTGCATGCGTCAGAAGACATGTTAGTGCAGCGTTGCACCACATATGCTGCTCGTTTGTTTGAGCAACTAATATAGTTTGTTCGATTCGCTACTCTCTAACGCTTGGCGCATCGAAGACAGCTATAATTGAAGACCTGAAGTCAGTCATACACAGATCCAAGATCTTTACTAGATTGAAATAGTTTTTCGAAACTCAGAAATATTGAAATTATAGCCAGCACTGAATTATTTCATTCGCAGCTAAATATAAAATTGAAATTCTCAACCAGTTCTACAAGTTCTCACAGGGCTTTCTTCTACGTAGCACCCAAGCATATTGACAGCAAGAGTTCTCCATGACCGCCATTATTATTCCTTTTACTGCAACTGCAATTGCGCATCATCCAGCGCCTTTGTACCACTGCTTATTACCCGCAAATGGTGATGCGTGAGCAAAGCGCTAATGATTCATTTGAAAGGTACGTGCAGACGGAAATTGAAAATAACTCATAGTCATGCAATTGCAATTTCACCTTAAGTGCTTATGAAAAGGTATAGCTGAGCGGGAAAACTCGCCAGCATCACCAAATACAAGTTGCCATGTAATTTTACACATGCAGTGTGATAAGTTATCCAATTGTAATCGTAACCAAATACATATTTGAAGTGTACGCCAAAATCGCATCTTGCTTGCAAGTACATAAGTAAGCGCGTAAGTATGTGTGTGTACGCATACGTAAGTGCGATTCTTATGCATTGCCGCACACACACAATGGCAAATATCATCAAATCGTTAGCATGCAATATTTACCCTTCGATTGAGCTTTGCATTGAGGGACTCGAATATCCCCCTTAAAGCACTCGAGCATTTAATGCATTTTAAACATTGCCGCTTATGTGTGTGCTTAAGTGTATTTATGTGCATGCGCAAAAACATTAGCCATTGTTAACAAGTGGTAGCGCCCGCACACACACACACACACACATTCACAAACTGTCGAAAATGCAGCGTTTTCGTCACACGACACGACAAATGTCCGAAAGGAACGAAATGAAAATAAAGTAAATCGTAAAAAAAATAATCTAAGTAAATAACTTGGCATTTCAGAGGAAAATGACAGCAAATGGCGAGCCATTAAATGTTGTAACCAAGTGCTACTTTAGTCCATACACACACACACACACACAAAGTGCTGCCAAGGACAACCAGCGCTCAACTACTCATATTCGTCTGGTGAGAGAGCAGACGAGGTGGCAGTTGGTGGGTGATTTGTTCTTGCAAAGTATGTCAACTTGTTATACAGCTATTTGGGTATGTTTTTGCGACAAAGCTGTACAACATTTATGACATTTTATCAATAGTGAAATTCTAGCTTATTTACCAGCAGAATAATGGCGGTGACATCGTTCACAACAGACAGACTGCTGTGAGTATTGTTTGTAGAAAGCATTATATATAAGCAAAAGAAAGGATGCAGCCACGTGCCATCATTCAAACGAAAACAAAGTGAAGTATGAACAACAGCTTAGATTTTTCTACTAATGTGCGTTTAAGAGTTATAAATTGTGAACTAATTAGCAGGCATTTGACCTTCTTAAATGCTGGAAAGGAAAAGAGTAAACCTTTAGAGACGAAAGTGTACAAAGTAAAGCCATTTTGAAGGAGAAAAGGTTGAAAGGGGCGTTTTCTTTAAGGAGCGACAAAAAGTTCCTGTACAACTGCAAAATCCTTTTGGCCTACAGTAGATTGCAGGAGATCTTATGAACTACTTTCCCTTAGCAAAGTTTATATTGCCGCATTCGTAGGGATTTTTACAAGACAATATCCAATAGGCACTCATGCGGTAAGGTTAAAAATCTTGTCGTACACAAATTGTCAAAGTTGTATGGAGGATGGTGATGTGGAAACATCCAGCCACTTTCCCTTCATTGTCCAGTCTTTGCAAGACTGAGGCTGAAACATCTCGGCAGTCATAACTTCATATCTTCAGTGAACCAGCTGACATAGCCGAAACTGACATTGGCAGCCTCAGCAAATTTGTGATCAGCTCAAAGCGCTTTGTCAATTCGTAAAGATCTTATAATATATTATATAGGTGTTTTGGGTAACACAATCTATCGGCGTTCTAAGCTGTCCAAGTGAGATTCTTGTTAGGATCTAACTCATAACCTAACCTAAGCCATTTTGAAATTTCTTTCTTGTTGACGACATCTGTGAAGCAAACGCCTTTGTAGGAAAGCATTTATTATGTAGCTTCTTTAAACTCAAAATTGTTTAACTATAGTATATAATAATGTGTAGATATAGATACATTAGTAAAAAAATTTAATTGATTTGCTTTTATTTTCTTTTTTTCAGAACTAATGATGGCCTCTTTCGATTGCGAGGAACCCAACAATGCGGAAAAGCTCATGTATGATCTCAACTAGAACAACTTGGAACGCACAATAAACTATTTTATAACGTGGATAAATTTTTCATGGTTTAAACATATATATATTAGGGTGGAGCGAAAGAAAAGTTTATTTTTCTTTTGAAAAATTTTCTTTAAAAATTTCTTTCAGCTCCAAATTCGAAATTTAAAAGGTCGCTTGTAATTTTATTCAATTTATCAGTGCATTACTTTAGATTTTTTCGAGCGACCTTTTAATATGTATATTAAAATTTCATATATTATATTTTTTTTCATTTATTGAATTTTGAGCTGAAATTTTCAGGAACTTATTATTTTTTGGTCTATAAAATTATACTGTAACGAGAAAAAAAATTTGATTAAAAAAAATTCGGTTTTTGGTGATTTTTGAAATTTTGAAAAAATTCTGAGCGACCTCTTAAAAATTTTTTCGAGCTGCCCTTTGGACAAGGTTCTTAAAAGATGATAAACTATCATATTTTCACACGAGACTTAAAAAAAAAATTATTCGGTTTTTTGCACCACCCTAATATACAAATGACAAAAATTACATTTGGATGCCGCAATCGGCGATTTGGTATGAGCTTTCGGAACGAGTTCGCAATTCTCCTATGACAGATATGAAGTGTTGTGGGGAAATTGTAATATCATTTCAGATATTGACACTGAGGTAACAAAAGCGTTAAGAAATATTGAGCGAATTTTAAGACAAAACCACGGCCAAGCAGTTGTTAAAAAATTTTATCATTTTTTCATCTAGATGATAATGATTTTTATTTGATTTTAGTGAATTTGCTTCTCAATTACTTTTCTGGCAGCAAAATTTAAGATTTTTGGAAATGCTGATCCACAAAAGTGCGCTAATTTTCGATAATTTCATTCTAATTTGAAAATGGTGACTCAAAATTTTTGTTGGAGTTTTCACAGAGACCCCTTGATAATACAAGTATAGACAGACACATAACCGCATTTATTTAAATAATCTCCGAAATTTTTATTGTTCATCTCTAATGCTTGAAATATCGCAAAAACTTTGGGAAAGTTTACCCTCTTAGAAGAAGGGGAAACGTTTCTTTAGAATTTTTCTGAAGAATATGTGTAAATAATTTTTATTGATTTGTTTAATGTTTAATGGTCGATCCTAAAAAGGAGATCTCACTTGTACAGCTAATAACGCCGGTCCTTTGTGGAAGGCTGGAAGAGAAAGCGGCTGGACCACCGCACCACCTCACCATCCTCGATACAACTTGCGTCCATCAAGATTTTTATTTTATTAGACAATGTTCAGTCAGAACTCCTACGATTGCTGCTAAGCGCAATCACTTCAGTAGATCTCTTACGTTCTACTCTAGGCCAGAAAGACCACGCAGTCGCATAGGAGCTGGTCATCGACCAACGCTTGCTAAGCGCACAAGCGGTACACACATCCAGTGCTGGGCGCTAAATGACTACGGAGATCTGACTCATTCCCACTCCGATGTGAGCGGGGTACGGGTGTCCCGTCTTGCTAGCTAATCGGCTTTGCTGTTTCCAGTGATTCCGCCATGACTAGGCACTCAAACGAGTAGCATGATGCTATTTCTAGTGAGGACAAACACTGCTTTGAGCGCATAGTTTGCAAGCTCAATGCTAATATCGCCGCTGTGCTGCCGGTGTGAATGTTCACCTACCTGAAAGAAGCAGCACTACGGAGTAGTAAATTTAAAGACTCCCCTTCAACTTTCCGTCCTAGCTTCGACCCACCAATGTTGCAAAGTCTCAATTATCAACAAGACCAGATATTATTTAATGAAATGTTCTATATGTTGTTTGTTGCTTGTTTAATGTCTTTGAAGCGTCAGCTATTTCGAACAGTTTTATTTTACCGCTTTAAAAATTAATTGGATCGCTAAAAATGTTATATCTCACGAAACTAAAGCATGTAGGTAGTTTCAATTCTAGCAGCTTGTTTTCATGGCAATACTTGAGAGTTGCCAGAACCGGAAGTTATAATTAACGAAGTTTAGAGGATTTGTTAAGAGAAATGAGAGTAGAGTGAACATGTTTGTTTATACAATTAAAAATAAATGCTGGCTGTTCAATTATCTAAATCTGAGAGAGAGCAAAATTAAGCATTTAAAGTATCAAACAATTGGAATAGTCGTGGCATTGTAATATATACAATATAAATGTATATACAAGTATAAGCCGCATTTGTATATGAAATAAATTAATTTGCATTCACAATAGATATTTTCCTTAAATCATGGTGGCAACACGCAAATTAAATTAAATCTTTATCAAATTCATTTGCATTGTGTTCACTCAACTGTTTGTAAATTTGTATAAATTCATTGTGAAACTCAATTAGCTGAGAGTAAATAATGTTTAAAGATAAGAAGCTACAATGCTTGTAAATTAATATTAATAATGTACAATAATGGTATTTATTTGTTGTTGTTTTGAATGTGATAAAAACGCATACAAACATTTTGTCGCACAATAAACATAGAATTTAAGATTTAGTGTGTGTGTGTGTGCGTGTGTGCGTGAGAGAGAATTTAATGCATTTTTACACACGAGCAGTTTTTGTTTACATATTTATGCAGTTGCCTGTTTGCTGTGACTTTTATTTACGATACGCATTACACTTGCAAGTAAATATTTTATTCACTCAATAAATAAATGATTTATGGCGCTTGATTTGTGTAGAGATTTTTTCAATTGTCACTTATTTACTCATGCGTAGTTTAATATTCTATAATATTTGTTGGCATTCGCTAATGTCTATTGGTCTAACTGTAGTTATGTATGTACGATATGTGCACACACAGAAGCATGACTTGCATTAAAACGGTGTATTATTGTATATAATTATATAAATGAATAAATTATATAAATAAGTAAATTATATAAACAAGTAATACAAAGAAAATAATTATTCTACTGACACATAACAAATTTGTACTAGATAAAAACGTTAGAAAAAATTAGTAATATACATATGTTAGACATATTATTGTAGCAAATATATGTAAGTGTGGTAGATTAAAGTATATTTAGTGTAATTTTGTAAACTGAAACTAATGCTGAATTAATATTTATTTAAACACAAATCATTTGTGAAAAGTATTAAAAAGTTTATGTAGAAACTTAAATGCCGTTATGTAATTAAAATGATAACAAATTGGTGTTTAAGACTAAAAATTATAATTTTTTGCGAAAAGCTAAATTTTCTAAAAATGTTTTAATTATTTTTATTGATTTGAACTCACATATATATATGGTACATACATACATATATTATTCTTTATTTATTTTTCATTTGGAAGTTTTTAATAAATATTACTAAATTTTGTTTTTTTATTATAATTTTTTTTTATAATAATTGTTGTTTTTTTTATTATATTTTTTATTTAATTTAAAAAAAATTGTATTTTTGTTTTTATTGTATTTAAATTTTTTTAACTTTTGTTGTTTTTTTAATATGATATTATTTTAATCAACTTTTTTTTTTTTTATTATGATATTTTTATTTTTGAGTTAAACAAATTTTTAATTTGATTTTTTTTTTGTTTACTAAAATTTTTTTTGTTTTTATTTTCTTTTGTATTTATTAATTAAAAAAAAAATTATATTTTAATTATATTTTAATCAGTTTATAATCTATTTATGTTGTTTATTATTATAATTTCATTTTTTATTTTTTTATAATTTTTGTTGTTTATGTTTTTATTATGATATTTTTATTTTTTTTGAGTTAAAACAATTTTTAATATAAAATTTTTTTTTATTTACTAAAATTTATTTTGTTGTTATTTTCTTTTGTTTTAATTTAACAAAAAAATTATATTTTAATCATTTTACAATTTATTTATGTTGTTTATTATTACAATTTTTATAATTTTTTTTGTTTATGTTTTTATTGTGATATTTTTATTTTTGAATTATATTTTGAAAAATTTTTTTTGTTTTTATTTTCTTTTTTACTTATGTTATATATCTATGTTGTTTATTATTATAATTTTTTATATACTTTTTTTATGATTTTAGTTGTTTTTTTTATTATGATATGTTTTTATCTAATTATTCTTAATTTTTGAGTTAAAAAAAAATTTAATTTCATATAGTTTTTTTTTAATTACTAAAATTTTTTTTTGGTTTTTTTTCTTTTGTACTTACATATATTACTTTTTATTTGAACATTTTTGTTAAAAATATTTTTTTTAATATTATATTTTTGTAATTTTTGATGTTTTTATTTTTATTGGAAAATGTGTTATTTATTTAATTTTCGAGTAAAAAAAATTATTTGAATCCTTGAATTAAGCATTTAATTTGTTTTTTCACTCAATCTTTTATATATTTATTTTTTGTATTTGTACTTATATGTTATAATTCCTTATTTCTATTTATTTAATACTTTTTTTAATTTTTTTATTTAATTTTGTTTTTATTTTTTTTTTATATATTGTTTTGTTTTTGTTTTTAACTAACTAAATCTGAGCTCAAAACTGGCTTATGTAAATACATATAAAAAATAGTAAATATTTACAAAATTATACGTAAGGGCCTACAAAATGGTGTATAATTACCATGCAAAAAGCCAAACTATGCTCAAAATCAATAGAAATATTTATAAATAAATTGAAAATGGCACATAAAAGGAATCAGCAAAAACATTATAGTAGTTACAGTTCAGAAAATATAAGTGCAGTAAAATGTAACAAAATTAGACACTGCGCTGAGTGCAAGCTATGCCAGATGTGCTTACAATAAGTTGAAAGTAACTGTAGTTAAAAAAATAATAATATTTGTAGTTGTTGATAAATTAAGTCTAAGCAAATTTTAAGAATTTAGCGTAAACGAACTAAGTATTTAATGTCATCCTAACTATACAAAAATAAAAGAATTTATAATGTGTATTTATTAAACTGTAAATATTGAGAACAAATAAGCGAAGAGATGTTACGAAGTAAATAACTAAAAACCATACATAATTATTTAAGTAAAAAAATATATAACGAATAAAACACAACAACAATGACTATGGTTAAGCATATAAACTGAGACTAAGTATTAGTGTAGAAAATTAGTAAATTAGTAATATATTGTAAACAAAGAAGAAAAACGTAAGTAACTGTAACAATAAATACTAGGTAACGTTTTTTGTATAATTTCTGACACATTCAACAGAAAAAATATAATTAATAAAATAAAAACTTTGAATTTTTATGTGAAAGCATTTTATTAGGCGGAACTTCAAGGTAATCATTTCAAGTACATAATTGGTTAAATAGTATTATATATATTCATGTATAGAGCATGTGTATATGTATATATGCCCATATGCGCTGTTACAAGCCGCAATCGCTGCCATCTGCCAAAGTCCATGCTGTAGGATAAAAAGAATATATAATTTGCTGGATGTTGTGATTGAAAAATATTTCCGAAAATTTCATTTGAACAATTATGAATTTCGCATGAACTAATATTTACGCTTGTAGAGTATTACCAATATTTTTGCTTTGCACACTTTCACCTCTACTCACCATCAACTGAGAGACAGTTCTCCACCTCCAAAATGCAGCTATTGCCGAAAATCTCCTTACTTTTACCGTTAGAAGCGCAAATTGGTTCATAAATAAATGGACAAGGACGTAAGCACTGCTCACGCACCAAGGGATCAACATGCTTGAGACAGAGCGACAAAGATGTAATGCGCCAAACTTCAATGAAAAAATAAATTAATTATATCACAAAAACATAATAAAAAATTATTATTAAATAATGGTAAATCACGCTCACCAGTGCCGGTGCTGCAACTTGCATAACGTCGTAAGCAGTCGTTATGGAAGTAACGGTACACGACTGCACCGGACGCCGTGGCAGCACTTTCATCACCGGAAACCGCACAAACAGGATCCAAATGTTTTGGGCAAGCATTTGTGCAACGCTCACTTGTATTAGCTTGATCGGCTTTTGCTAAGGAAATCACAATCACAAGTATTACCGTTACAGCGAGCTTCATGTTTATGCTTTGTAAAGTAGCTCTGTTCCGTTTGAACTGTGAAATAAGTCAGTTTATAGCGGTATTTTATACAAAATCGTAAGTTCTATCAGACAATTAAGCATCTCAATAATTATCTGTTGTTAAGCGAACTTTTAACGGTAATATATAATATTTTATATTTGCTTAGCAATACTTACAGTTAACGCAGTCTTATCGGTTATCCAAATTGTATGCTTAACCTTGGCACTGAAGTTGAAGCCGAACGAAGCTGGCTAGTAGTTAAGTAGTTAAGTGGCAAACTCACCGACTTTTCGTTTTGGTATTTTGATAAGCCGCGTGCATTACAAATGCAAACAAGCGCTTTTATTTTCAAAATTAACAGCAGTTAAGGTATTTTTTCAGGTCATTGTGCTACAAACTGATAATAATATTAACTAACCCATTACATGGTCGAGCAATATCAAAACAACTGAAAAGTTCGAAATTTTATAGAATCCACTTTGAATAGTTTGAAATGAGGAAAGTTGTATTCTCAATTGACAGGATTTAAGTTCTTGTATTAAACCCTAAACCCAGCTTCTCTAACTTAAAGAGCTAGCGCAGCTTTTCAACAGAGAGTGGAAAATACATTTACAGTTATAACAAGAAAAAACTATTACTTTGATTGCATCGAAGCTATAATACCCTTCACATGTGCATTTGTTATAGCATAAAAGGGTATAAAAAGATCTTTATCTTGATTTTTATCGGTCAGTTTAAATAACAGCCATATGCTATAATAATCCGATTTGAACAATAGATTGTATAGTTGCTTAGGAAAATAATCCATTCCAAATTTCGTGAAAATATTTCGTAAAATAAAAAAGTTTTCTATACAAGGACATGTACAATATTTGAACGTTCAGTTTGTATGGCAGCTATATGCTATAGTGGTCCGATATCGGCTGCTCCGACAAATGAGCTACTTCTTTGGGAGAAAAGAACGTGTGCAAAATTTCAGATCGATATCTCAAAAACTAAGGGACTAGTTCGGATATACAACTCCTACAAACTCAGCGCGTTATACTTATCAATTATATATTATATGTGTGTATATCATAGGGTCTCCGACGTTTCCTTATGGGTATTACAAACTTAATATACACTGTTCAGGGTATAAAAAATGGAAAATATTGTAAAGTACCGTGTAAACTAAATAAAGTCCGTTTTTAAAGAAAATTTAGTTGACCTGTTGTTATTGTTGTTACAGCATAAAAATTTTGGGGTTTACTGCTGAGGTGGTTGTAGGTGCCTGTGCGTGCGTGTTCTCAATTTTAGAATTTTCTTGCGAAGTAAGGTGACCCGCATTAATTATTTTCCAGCCATCTGTGTGTGAACTCTTTCATATTAAACTTATCTGTGTGTATGGCTTACCGCTAGATGGTGCCATATTTCATGCCGAAACACAGATGAATGAAAGAATATTCATAATAATAAAAAATAATTTCCAAATGTTTAATCATTAATGTAGTTCTTATTCAGCATCACTGCTGAGTGCGTTTACCAACTATAAAAATTTTAAATCTTTAAAATTGTGAGAAATAATTTAAAAAAATAAAAAATGATCAGGAGTCTTCGCAGTCGGTAGGATTCGAACCTACGCTCCCAGAGGGAATCTGATTTCTAGTCAGACGCCTTAACCGCTCGGCCACGACTGCTTTTTCTCTCTTAGTGCATAATGTGCTACAAAACTGCATAGACATGTGTTTTCATGTATAAAAGTTTTCATAGTAATTCACTCTCTCATTCCCCTTTAAGGGGTAAAGTGGATTGGAAAATTTTGAAAAATCTGTTATTACGAAAGGTATAGTAAAAATACAATTTTTTGAACCACTGAAACCCACCTAACCCTTTAGAAAATGGATGCTTATACATAAAAAAAAACCTGGATCGCACCTTATGAGTGCCAGCTTTTGTTTTTTTACCAGACTGTATCAACTAATCAATATAATTAAACATATTTCGCACCCTTCCCATCGAAAGAGGATTGCTATATCTCCTAATTATAATAAAATCCATATAATTAAAATCACTACTACTACTTGTCGTCTCTAGCTTCTTTCTTGCTGCTGAACATGTCAAAATTCGATTACCATTATCAAGTAAAATATAGTTTTATGTGATTTAATAATTATTTTAATTACAATAACAAATTTACGAAAAACACAAAAACGAAATATATAATAATAAAAAACAAATCATTCCGCGAATTTCTCACGGAAAGCTTTCTGCGCAGTCGGTAGGATTCGAACCTACGCTCCCAGAGGGAATCTGATTTCTAGTCAGACGCCTTAACCGCTCGGCCACGACTGCATGCCTTATAATTGTGCCCATTGCGCAACTTAAGCGTTATAAAATTTTTTATTACTTTTATCATGCTACTTGGGCAAAGAGGACCTCATATTGACGATGCTATGTGAATATCGAGATTTTAATATTATTTATATTCAATTCCGCACATGACCGCTTCGTAGGGAGCCAACTGGACGAGTGAACCGCGCTGCACTTTATTTCATGACATTGACACCCCTCTCTTGGCCTAATGACACCTATATCGCATATTATGTTTTCGTATGGAATGTTCGAAACGAATATTCAGTCATGAATATCAAGTAATTAATTTTGTTAAGGATTAATACTAAGGTACAAATAAAGAGCACTTTAGTAATAATTTTTGGTATATAAAAAAACACTTATTGTGACGTAACTATAACAGTTAGACATATGCTGTCGCGACATGTTTTGTAGATAATTATTTGCTCTGCAAAGTCGTAATACATTATTTTGTTCTATTATCAGTAGTAATCGCAGCGTACGCTATGTATGTTGAGGAATTTTTTATCTAATTTTTTACACCTTGGCTTACATTTTTGGTGTTTTAGTAAGGAGTCCTAACTTTTTTGAAAATATAATATAGCCTATATTCACCGGAGAGTGTAGCTGCCCAACGATGAAAGCATTTTTCAAATACGTCAAGTGGTTTCAAATCTCTCCTTTTATAATAATAGTATAGATTAAGCCATAAGTTTTGCGATTTACGTGAAAATTTATTTCAATATGTCAAAACTTCACTCACTCACCCACAACAGACAATTCTATCAATCTTAAGATCCATTATATAATACTAAAAAGGCCTTATAGCTATATAATGTTTCGCCTTGAAGTCTTGCTAATATGTTATGGTCAGCATAATGTGCGTTGACTAATTTAATGGCTTAGGCTTAGGAAGCGCGTTGAAACATTGAATGCCCTACCACCGACGTGATATCAACTAACAGAACGCAAAATAAAAGCACAATATTATTTTTAAGTTTTCTCATAATTTTTTTTTTTTTTATATAATATTTAATTTTTTTTATTGTTTAGTTCTTGTCGAATTACATACACAAACATTAAATCATTTTGAGATAGTTGATAGTTTTTAATTTCATATCTTATACTTCTGCAATACTTTTATAAGCAACTTTCGTGGTTATTATTTATTTATTTTCGTTTATAGCGGCATTGAACACACTCATATTATTATGAATATTTCAATTTTTTTATTTTTTTTTTTTAACAATATAACAAGACATTTATCAAAGTTCTAGTTTAATACGGCATTTAAAGGTGAAAGTTTTCAGCTGCTTTCGCAAACTATGAGCCGATGGAAAAGTTATACTGTTGTCGCTACATTCTCCAACTATAGGTTGAGTTCAAGGCCAACATTTTTTAGTTTTAACATTTAGCACTGAAGATTTAAGTGTATATGGTACTAAATTGTTTTAATTATTGAACATTTTGCATTGTTTTACAAAAATATTATAAATATTTTTGACATTACCGAAGTATACATACAAACATATCTATAAATTTGTTTGTTTGTTTTACCTTATTAAAAAAGAACAATAAAATCACAAAGTGTCTAAAAAAAATGTCATTTCAAAAGGAACAATTTTATGCTACTTATCAAAATAAGGCCTTTGCAAAATACTTTGTTACGTTTATTGTTGGGCTTTTATTTGTATTCTTTCGTTTACAATAAATGACGATGCAAATATTTAACTTTTTTTAAATGAGTGCAAACTGTTGCTGCAAGTGTTGTTGTGACTAAGTAACTATAAAGTGTAAGCTTATTTATTTAATTAGAACTAAAAATATTAACATACAATTAAATTAAAAAAGCTTCTTTTATTTTCATCAAATTTTATAAAAGAACTTAAGTACAAATTTCAGTTGTCATATTCATAAGAAAGTTCTTTCAAAAAAAAAGTATTATTTTTACACTTTAATTTGTTAAACTTTAATGGCAAAATTACCAGAGCCCATAATCATTATAGGTTTTATTTTAAAAATCACGTAATTATGACTATACATTGAGTTTTACGATTTTCTTCACCGATAATGATTAATTTTGATAAATTTTATAATAAATCATAAATATTGATTAGTTTTGAGCAAAAAATTAAAAACATAATTAATGATTAGTTTTGAGCAAAAAAATAATAATCATATATAATGATGATTTACTAAATGAATACTGAACTAGATTCTTTCTTTAATTACAAAACGACAAACAAGACACATTTTGATATAAAAGTGAGTTTTACTTTGAACAAAAAATTAAAAATCATAAATGTTTTTTTGCTCAAAAAATAATGATTCTATATGATTTATTATAAAATTAAGCATTATCGTTAAAGGAAATCATAAAACACAGAACTTAATCAATCATCATGGAAATGCTTAGATCGTCGCAAAAGGATTAATATGACATAATCTGTTTTTTTTTGTATGACGATTCTAAGTTATTGATTTGTTTATTTAAAAATCGCAACAATAATCATTATTTACGGTCCTGAAAATTGCTATACACAATATATGTATACTTAAAGTCTAACGGATTTTAAAATGCCAGTGAAAGCAAATAATCAAATTTTTTCATTGTTGAACCGGCAATTAAAATTTTTTTTTTTAGTTTTTGTATAGTAATTTGTATTTTGAGTACTTGTTACTGTCTTCGGTTAAACAACTAACTTATTATGAATACCAAACTAAAATATTAAGCTAGTGCAACAATTAATTTAAAATAAAATACAAATATTAAAAAAAAAAAGTTCAGCGTTAATTTAACAGTTTGGTGGCTATTGTGATATGATTGAAACGCACAAAAGTGCTAAAATTATAAATTGTAAATATAGAATAATAAATAGTTAAAAAGCTATATACATAAGTTGCTTTAAAAATAAAAATTAAAAATGCTATGGCTAAATGGGCATTTACTATAAAGAAGAGTACGTATAGCTTTGTAAACAATTTACACACACATATAAAATTACATAAATAACTGCTTGGCAAATGCATAATTTAACCTAAAAATATATTTAGGAAAAATGGAATTTTTTATTCAAAACGTTTGAATAATTTTTTAATACAGTTAAGTTCACTTAATTTTTTATAAAAACAACAAATGCAGAAAACAACAAATTGTTTTATTATTTTTCATTTTTTCTTTGCGAATGCGAATTTATGTTTGCATGAACAAATACGAATTAAAAATTCAACAAAAGTAAACATTACAATTTTACAAATTTATCAAAGAAAATGTCCATGGCTTGTGCATTTTTCCTACGTACATATGTATGTATATGCTTAGAGAAGTTAGTTGTTTTGTGACATTTCCTCATTCGCATTATGTATATATTTATATTAATTTAAGTGCGATTTCCACTTGTTTTTGTGTGTTTGTGTGTGTGTGTGTGAAACTTGTTGTTTCACCTATTCATAACCAATTTTTTGTGCACCAGACACAGCATCCATATGTAGCATTACTATGGAGCCAACCATGGCCACCACAGTGCGATCCAGCCATGTAACTGGGTTAGGGTAAATTAAACCGCCTTCATAGAATCCCAAATGTCCACCATGAGCCAATTCAATGTATGCTACATTGGGGCGGGACGCTGAAAAATGATTAAATATTATAAAAACTATACACATATTTAATAATAAATAATAAAAAAATAAAACAAAAAAAATTTGAAAGATTCGCAGTCGGTAGGATTCGAACCTACGCTCCCAGAGGGAATCTGATTTCTAGTCAGACGCCTTAACCGCTCGGCCACGACTGCTTTTTACCGTTAGTTGCGCAAACTGTTATACAAGCAATTACAAAGCTGATGGCATCGAAAATTTTAAACGAAACTTACAGGGTGTATCATATAACAAGAAAATTAAACAAATATTTTCTAATATGTATCTGCACTAACAACCCGTGCTTTTTGAGCATATGAGCAATTTTAATTGTTTTGTCTTTCATGCTTACTTTAAAAAAATTTAATAAGTATAAATTTAAATTGTAGTTAAATTTTTTTTTGTTTAATTTAATTTAAATTTTTAAATTTATTGAATTTTTTTAATTTAATATTTTTAATTAAATTTAATTTTTAAATTTATTTTAATTAAAATTGAAACACTATAAATTTTGAGTACTCACATGCGAATTCTTTAATGGGTGGCAACAGCTCCTCCGGCACTAGTGGATCATCTTTAGCATTAATGAAAATCATTGGCTTGTCAATGTTGTCCAAAAAGTGCAGCGATGAACTCCACTTATATAGCTCCTGTGTAGTGGAGAAATTGTGCACACGACGTGTATAAGCCTCATCTAATTCCGGCAGTGTGGCGGCAGCGATAATCTCACGTTCGTTTAGATTGTGACGTGCTTTCACTTCGTCCGACAGCAAGACATGACGATGCTTGAGTATAATACTCTTCACATTTTCTGTCATCACATACAGATAGAAGCGGCGGAAATTTTGCCAATTCAAAAGCCACTTCGTACCTCTGCAAATGAAAATCGTCAATTTATTGCTATTAATTTTCAAATTCCAAGAAACAATTGATATGCAGACAGAGCATATGGTATAGAGAAAGAACGCGCGTTCTCCTGTCTCTCTTATGCCAAATTGATTGTCATACTTACTCCTCTGCATTGTACCCCTGACAAATTGATATGCCACCAAGTATGGTGTTCGGTTTTGACTTTGCTAATTCTCCCATATATTTAGTCACAAGATTGCCACCTAAACTGAAACCGACAGCCACAATACGGCTATTTGGGTATTTCTTATGTAAATTGTTAACCATTTCGGAAAAGTCATCCGTGTGACCTTAAATGTAAAGAAAATTTATTATTAAGTATGTAAAAAATACTGACTTTATGCACTAACCATAACTGAAGATGCGGGTCGATGTCACTTGTACACTATTCAATGCACCGATGTGGTTGAGTACGGCACATCTGTAGCCATGCATTTGTGAATAGTGTACGAATGTGCGTATATACACACTCTCCGAGGTATTGCCAATACCAGGACAAATAGCGATGGTGACATCATCTGAAATATCAAAAAGCTTTAAAAATCTTATTTTATATTCGGTATTTTGTGTTTACCTTCAGCTTCATTTATCGGTTGATAGAGATCGTAGGTGAGTGTAGAGCCATCGTGTAGCAACAGATATACTCGCTCGCCCAATGGCCAAGGACATTTCACACGGCCCACTATGCTATGCAACACCGTTTGTACGTGACCACTGAAACCCCATAAACGCGTGGGAACATAACTGTAAAATAAACAAAGAAAATTATAGGCATTTTCGAAGAAAACAGGTGCTTTCGAAAATAATTGTTAAAAGAATATAATTTGTATGGAGAAAACTGTTTTTTAGTTTATTAGCACATATTCGCTGCCAGCCGAAAGGCGTGTGATACAAATCTTTGTGGTCAACATGTTAGTCAAAGACCACCAAGTTAATGCATTGTTAATGATACACTTTTACGATTGCAGCCGTTTTCCAGACACTATTCTCATGATAGCTATGAAAAACTTTAATAATCACCATTAATTTATTTAGTCGATGAAAGGTAAAAGTGGAAAGGGAGAGTATTACAAAAAGGTTTTAATTTATTTTATATTAAAAATTATTTTTATGCACTGAACTGGTTATATTAAGTTTGTCACAATGTTTGTAACACACAGAAGTGTGACGAACTGCGTCGATTTAGCCATGTACGACTGTCCGTCTTTGTGTATATACGCGAACTAGTGCCTCAGTTTTTGAGATATCGATCCGAAATTTTGCACACGTTCTTTTCTTTCCCAAAAACTGATAATTTGTCTGAACGGCCGATATCCGACTATATATATAAAGCATATAGCTGCCATACAAACTGCACGATCGGGATCAAGTGCTTGTACGGAAAACTTTTTCATGCGACGAGATATCTTCACGAAATTTGGCATGGATTATTGCCTAAAGCATGCATATATAATTTGTATTTTGAAAACACTACTTTCAGTGGTAAAACGTGACATTCAAATTTGCTTGCTCTTTTTGACTTTTTACGACGGTCGAATCACGTTGAATTTACTGACTAGTGGCATGACCTCCACAAATTTATTCAATTTACGGTCATTTTCATTTGCACTATACTTACAAGTATGTATGCATGTATGTATGTATGTAAGGAGTTAACGCTATGCAATTCTTGGGATAGCGCTGTGGCAAATTGTTTTCCGGCTATACACAAGCGAGCACTGATCTAGTCGAAAGGGGGCGATAATAGTCAACATGTCATGGATATTTGTGCAGACATGTGCTTGGTTCATTTAATACTAGATTATTTTTAAGTTTCAATTGAAGCTTATGCTTTTCTTCGTAAAATATTCTCACAGAATTTAAATATTCTTTTGGGAAGAGAAAAGTACTTTTCTTCGTAAAATATTCTTTCGAGCGGAGAAAAGTACTTTTCTTCGTAAAATATTCTTTCGGGAAGAGAAAAGTACTTTTCTTCGTAAAATATTCTTTCGAGCAGAGAAAATTACTTTTCTTCGTAAAATATTCTCACAAAATTTAAATATTCTTTCGAGCAGAGAAAAATACATATAGTTAAATAATTGATTGTTTTGCGTGGGTTTGCCCTAGAGATCATTGTTTATTTGAAGGTTTTGAGCACGTCCCTCACGATTTAGCACGCAGCAATAACGAGACACGCATGTCGAAATAATGTGCAATATTTAATCACTGTATATAGTACAAGTGAATATATATGTATCTCATTTATAGCATTTACATAATGCATTTATAGAATTACTGCCATTTTTTTGCCACTCGTCTACTTCCCTTGCGAGCTCAACTTTTAAATAATCTTATTGCTGTTGAATTGTGTCATTAAAACTTCACGCATTCATTTTGTTTTTGCTTAAATGACTCCTCTCTTTACGCTTGTTGTTTTAAAACGAAAAACTTGCGATTTGGCTGTAGCGTTGAACTTGAACCTTGTGCCATACACTTACATAAATGTCAGGGTATCGAATTGCATAATTTGCAATATTTGTGCGCATCCATGTTGCTGACCTTGAATTTCGTAGTTGTAACTAGTATACTACTGAAGTGTACTGTTAAAGGATGCGAGCGCGTGTAATCCGCTTCCACAATTACCATTAGTGATATAATATAATATAAATATAATTGTTGTTATTGTTATACCACGAACTGAAGTAGTTCAAAGTTTAAACAAATTTAAAACAAAATTCGAATCTTTGCGGCATTTTGAAGCTTGCTGTCGCTGCTCATGAAAGCTAGAAGCAAAGGGGAATCGTATAGGTGAACATTCGAAACATTTACTTCGGTTTGGTATTACGTTGATTTGGTATTTTGGATTAGGTGTAGTCAATGATATGAAAAAATTGCGATTTTAAATAATTTTTTGTCAGTAAATTTTAAGAGTAAAAAATTATTAAATAAGGTTTCGATTTGAATTGACTGAATATGAAAAAAAAAATAATAATTTTAAAAGTTAGAGCTGTTTGTGTTGATTCAGTCCAACCGTAGCTACTTTTTGAACATTCAACTAAAACGAATCGGACAAAAAAATTTTATTTTAACAATAGATAATCTAATACCTGATCAAAGCTATTTTTTATTAAATTAACTAAATAGCGGCCTCAGGATAAATTTTTTACAGATTTTCCGGAAAAACCCAACATTTAGTTGTTGATTAAAAAATCGAAATTAAAAAAAAAAACAGAATTAGTTTTTCATGTTTTCAAAAAGCTATATAAATTTCATTAAAATCTACCGAGCCATTTTCGAGCTACAGTGGCCACCAGAAAGGGTACGGGTATGAGCTTCTTTAACCTCCTGAGGCTCATTACTGCAGTCTTGGGCCTCACACCAAATCAGCAAGCGTTGGTCAACTACTAGTAGCTGTGCAGTCACAAGGTCCTTCTGGCCCAAGGTAAATTAGCAAGGTCCCCCTTTCAGTGGTTGTTGGAGTTTTGCCTAAACACTGTCCGATCGGGATTCATGCAGTAAAATGGCATATTTTACCTGATGCCAGCTGCATTAGCTGTTTGGAAGAATTTGAAATAGAATCATCTCAAAATTTCTCAAAAATCATATCTCCGAAAATAGTTGCCAAATCAACTTTAAATTTTCGGAGAATATTTCTAATGTATTATAATTTAAGAAAATGCAAAGCAGAAAAAATCTATTTTTTGAACTCGACTACCCGTAACCCCTTATGAGGATAAATTTGAAGAAAGTTGCGTCTACTAAAGAAATAAAATGAAATCATCCGGATATATGTAAGTGTATATGAGACCATGCAACTGGCATTCTTCAAAACTACACAAAAACAAAAAACTACTGAAATTAAAGCTGAATTTCTCGAAAAATCGGATTTTATGTTATGACACTTTGGTAGTGTATGGTATATACATGCTATGTATTTGGTATAATTATTATATAGCCTATAGTTGGAAATTTTATTTTTTTTCAAGTTTTTTTTTATAAGCTACAAATTTTACCCTCAGGCTAAGCAAAAAAAAAATTTCGCTCCACCCTAATTAACATACATTATTAAATAATAAAACAGTATTAAATGAAATCATTCTTGATTGCATACAAGATTTTACATAGATTAAATGTATGAAATTGAATATAAAAAAGGAACGGAACTCCAAAAGAAACTATAGTTTAGAATCTGAACTTTAGATGACGTAATAAAAGTCATAAAATCATACTTTAGAAAACAATTAAGCCTATTATTTAGTGAATTAAACCTATTATTTTTTAAAACGTGGCTTAGAAAATCTATTGGTTTATAGTATTCTTGCTGGTACAGTACCAAGTGGATAGAAGAATGTTTGCCTGGCTTAATATATATTATACCATCTAAACAAAAATTCAAAAAGTTAAAGAAACAGTTATTGAAAGTCGTCGTGCTGGCATCAGAAAGATAGCAGAGAATCTCAAAGTCTCTTATGGATCGACTCATCACCGCGATGTGGTTAACCTTGAATGCGTTCCACAGGGTTAAACAGTCAATAAGGAGTACTACTTAGCCATTTAGAGGCGTCTACATGAAGCAATACGTCGTAAACGACCGGATGTGTGGGACTCTTTGGCCAAACACGAACGAGAGTCATCGCTAAGCCACCGTATTTACGCGATTTGGTTCGCTGTGATTTTTGGCTGTTTTCGAAATTGAAATATGCGCTTCCGCGAACGCGCCATGATTCCAGTGAAGACGTGAAAAGTCATTCGCTGAATGCATTGGAGGCTAACCCAGCCAAGGGTTACAAAAAGTGTACGGAAAATTTGATTGGAGTGGATTGGAGCGTTGGCATGCTCGTGTTGGCTCAAAAGTTGCCTATTTTGAAAGCAATAATAAATATAAGAATGTGAAAATGTTTTTTTTTTGTTTTGTTAGTCCGTGTTAAATTTGAGCAAATGATATGTTCTCATGCCTAATATAATTTTTGAAAGTATTATCTTATTATTGTCGCTGTTGGGAAGAAAACACGCATCTGTGTACGAAATACATCCATAATTTTTTTTTTTATGATGGAAATTGTAGTAATTTCACGCCATTAAGTAATTTCAAATAATGTTAATGCATGTTACCTATAATTATATTGCTTTTTTTGTAGTAAAACACGTTAATTGGCAATTATTGAAATAATGAAAATTTGAATAAACAACAGGTTTTCATCCCGCCTATACACACATATAGATATGTGTATATACTATATGGGTGTGGATATGCCTATTGTATCCATGTATTATTCGTTGGAACTATTATAAGCCCAAAATATCATATACACACATATATATATGCATTATAATAGATAATGTATTTATATACATATATTTAGTTGTGCCTTTGTGTATTATTTTACTGACAATACTATATCTTATCAACAAGGGTTATGTCTTGCTCTTGCTAATTCTTAGTGCTTGCACAAACTCAAATGGTGAATGTCGGATACATCCAAACATACATACATACCTATATGCACATGTGTATAAACTGAACCTAGAGTCCAAAGTACAAAACGAAGAGCTTGGCAATTATCATTGAAGAAATATATAAACATAGATACAAAGAAAGAAAGATTTTCTTAAATATCTAAAACGAGAAATATCATAACAAAACAAAAAACAAAAAAAAACATTGTTTTATTTTCAAACTTTTTTTTTATATAAACTTTTTGGTATATAAAGCCATTAGCTATATTTCCGTATATATTAGCACTTATCGTAAAATAAACTTCAAACAAAATAAAGGGGTTGAGTGCGTCATAGAAATTTTATAGTAAATGAGATAAGTCGGTTATGAAAGTTAAACTTTTAGCTGTATACTGCAGTTAGAATAATTAGTTAGTCATAAAGTAATAAAAATTCATTAAAAACAAGAAAAACCTTTAACTTCGATTGCACCGAGGCTATAATACCCTTCACAAATACAAAAAATTCCTTACAAGCACTTGATTCCGATCGTTCAGTTTGTATGGCAGCTATATGCTATAGTGATTCGATCTGAACAATTTCTTCGGAGATGCCATTTTTGCCTGAGATAACGACCCGTTCCAAATTTTGTGACGATATCTAGTCAATAGAAAAGTTTTCCATGCAAGCACTTGATTCCGATCGTTCAGTTTGTATGGCAGCTATATGCTATAGTGGTCCGATATCGGGCATTCCGACAAATGAGCAGCTTTTTGGTGAGAAAAGGTTATATGCTGCATATAAGATCGATATCTTAAAAACTGAGAGACTAGTTCGCGTATATACAGACGGACGGACAGATGAACAGACAGACGAACATGGCTCATCATGCTGATCATTTATGTATATATTTTATAGGGTCTCCGACGTTTCCTTCTGTGTGTTACAAACTTCATGGCAAACTTATATACACTGTTCAGGGTATAATAAAAATGTTACATTTTTTTTAGATTTATCTATCGCCCAAAATTATTTCACAATAATAAGAATATACATAAGTGTATAATATTATATGTGTATTGTGAAACAAGGCGGTTTAAAAAAAAATATCTGAAGGTACCAAAAGCACCACACATTTAGTCATGAGTCACCAAAGTACCTATGTATATACGTTAGGGTGAGTCAAAAAAAATAATTATTTTCACTTGATACTCGTAATTGTAACTGGAAGGTCCTCCGCCTAACGGTTTTCTATTTTTTCTTATTATCAGATGGAAAAATTCACACTTCGCTTCGAACTACTTGAAAAAAAATTTAGTTATGGATTTTGTATGAAATGAAATGCTCTACAAAATGGTCTTTTACGGTTTTTTCGTAAACTTAACAGTTTAAAAGTGATTAACAGTGGAAATTTGACTATTATAATACAAGTTTATTTTTTTCTTTTCAATTTTATAACTCAATGAAAAAACTGCATTTTAAATTGCAAAGCAAATTATTTTGGGACATATTCTTATAGGACAAATTCTTATAAGAAATTTACTGCTCTAAAAAATTATCACTTTTCAACCTTTTTTTTTGTTGTGTGTTTCTTTGATAGGTTTGATGTTTGACATTGAATATCTCGTAACCTTTCCGTTACAATTAAGCGCTCATACTTAAGAGTGCTAAAGGTGTCTATTAACCAATTTTTCAGAGTACGAACCGAAAAAATCATTTTTTTTTGTTTAACCCACCTTTATATACATACATACAAGTATATACAAGTTTTATGCCAACCAAACTGAATTGAATTGAATGTTGCTCTACTATTATTGTATTAAAATAGAAAAATAAGCATTATTCTAATACGCACTTCGATAAGTGTAAATTAAGGGAACGATGCGTAGAAGATAAATAGTATAAATTTGAAAGCGAGATTTGGTACAGCCACAAATACATAGATAACGCAGTATGTGCATAATAATGAAAAATAGTGTAAGCAGGTGGTTGAGTCATCCTATGACTGCCACACAATTTTTTAAATAGAAAATAAAATGTACTTAAATTTATTGCTTTTTATGCATCTTTAAAACAATAAAACCATAAACTCTCGTTCGTCTTAAAGTGAGTAATGTGAATACCGCTAAACTCAATTTTTGTTGAATTCTCCAACCAAAGCATTTGTTGGTGTTTGCAAATATAGCCATCAATGGAATCAAACGTTGTGTTGCTGTTACGCAAGTTTTTGTTATTAAATAAAAATCAGTTTTTCGACGTGCTAGCTTACATATACGTATATACATATGTACGCCCGTCAACATATGTATACAAAAAAAAAACGTGTATATGAGCTCATGCATATTCCACTGACGATTTGTTTTGCCGGCATTTAAAATATTATGTCATATACAATACATGTATACACCAAACATATACAAACACATGCACATATTTTCATGCATTTTAGACATGCGATCAACAATGTCTTTCTACAATAACAATTAGAATACAAAATGTGCTCAGTTTAAAATAGTTTTGTTTGTTTTGCTAAACAATCACAGATTTTAAAGCAGACATTGTGGCGTACTTAGTATACATTAACATGTTCATGTGGGAATTATTTACAAATATACATATGTATTAAGTATCTTCTATAAAAAGAAGAAATATTCACACATAGTTCGCTATGATTTTTTATTCGCCTACGCGAAAACTTTTTCGACTTTTTTGGCAAACAAGCCATAAAAATATGTACATACATGTGTACATATGTTTATCTGGCAGCTAGAAAGCCTGTAATTCCGGTTTATAAGTCCTCCTCAACTGAATAAAAATTTTAGAAGTGCCATTTATGATATCATTACATGTGATTTGATAACCTTTTTAAATAAGACAAAAAAACGTTTACTTCGATGGCACCGATGCTGGAAAACCCTTCACACATAAAAAAAAAAATTTGTATACAAGAACTTGATTCCGACCGTTCAGTTTGTATGGCAGGTGTTATAGTGGTCCGATATCGCCATTTATTGCAAATAAAACGGGTAATATAATTCCTAGGACGTTTAAAATATCATAATTAAATTACTAAAATAGATGATAAGAGAGAAATTCGCTAGATTTTTAATGTTTCAGTTCAATTAAACAAAGCTGAATAAGCGTAAGCATATCAATTGAATGACAAGACGATTTGCAAACATTAAATTCATTCAAGTATATACATACATACATACATACATTTGCATGTATGTAATATTCTTAATATTCATATAGATTTCATTTACTAAAATATATGATCTTATGACCAAAATTGGCTTATCAACGCAGCAAGTTTTTTTTGGCTTTCCATTGTATGTACAGACATACAAATATTCAAAATAATATTTATGTTATTTATTAAAAAATGGAACTAAAAGAACTGCTACTTTTTATTTACTTTCTGGTACGACTTACTAATCAAGTCCACATTGGCATAGCATGTACGAGTATGTTATCTTTGATGCGCAAAGATGTTGAAAATTTTATTTTTTTTACACGACTAGAAATGTCCTTCCTTCTATATAGACGACTATAAGAGTTATTTGACTTTTATAAATTTATATATAATATATATAAATATTATAAAGTATCTAATTGAGTCAGAATTTTAAAATTCCATATACAGAGTACGTGTTATACATATGATATATGTAAACATTACACATACGAGTACACATACATATGTACATATAGCATATAGCGGTTATAATTATAAACATTTACATACCTTACTTCCTACTATTATTTGAATTTGAATTTACGTTTACAAATGCTTATAACTTTATCTACATCCAATAAGTAAAAAAAAAAATGTACTTATATACATATGTATGTATAAGTTTTTAGATATGTTATCACACGGTGACCAGCTGTTAGTAAAAAATCTTGATTCACAGAATTAGCTTAATTTGAAAACTGGCAACACAAGGGATTCAATGTTTGTCGGTCTAATTTCATGCAATATAAAAATAAATGAACTATTATAAAACTAAGACTAGACCGATAAGGCTGTAAGGAAATTTTCCAACAGCTGAGGTACATACATAAAGCCAGTCGCAGTAGCCAGTATCGCATTGATTTATAATGTGGCTGTAATTATATATTTATATTGTTAGAATCGAATTGTTAAATCAATCTCAATAATAAACGCAAAGTAGTGTTATAAATTTTAGTATATGTTATCTTTTTGAGAAGTCTTTTTGATAACTTAATTAAATAAAATTCTTGTTTGCAGTTAACTACGTATTTTCTGAGGTGATATTTCAGTGGTAGGTAGTATGTAAATACATACAAATCTTTTACGAATATTTCACAGTTACTGCGTACTTACGGTTCTCTTAGTACTGGTGCAATTTTATAGATACAATCCAGAAACTGTTGATCCAAACACCAAACGCTTGGTTTAAGCGGCTGACTGTTAACGTTTAGTATTCGAAACAGGATGCACATTATGACCGCTATGGCGGTAAGAAATGCCGTCGACATTTTAGCTATGAGTTTTATCAGGTGTAGATGATCGAAGGAGAATAATGTAAAATCGGTGACAATCTGTATTAGTTCGTTTTTTGATTTCAGTAAGTCATCAAGGAATAAATGTAGGCGAAGCAACAATTCCGGAAGCATGCACGAAGAATTTGTATAAAGCTTTAGTATGTTATCAAAAAAAAGCAACTGTTATACGGTGGTGATTTATATAAAAATTAGATAATATTAATAGTAATTAGAATAAGAATTTGTAATTTATAAAACGAATTTAATGCGCAATATCGTACAGCTGTTGAATATTTATACTCTCGCAACCTCTTGCTACAGAGTATAATAGTTTTGTTCACCTAACGGTTGTTTGTATCACCTAAAATTAATCGAGTTAGATATAGGGTTATATATATATAAATGATCAGGATGAAGAGACGAGTTGAAATCCGGGTGACTGTCTGTCCGTCCGTCCGTCCGTCCGTGCAAGCTCTAACTTGAGTAAAAATTGAGATATCTTTATGAAACTTGGTAGACATGTTTCATGGTACCGTGAGACGGTTGGTATTGCAGATGGGCGTAATTGGACCACTGCCACGCCCACAAAACGCCATTAATCAAAAACAAATAACTTGCCATAACTAAGCTCCGCAATAAGATACAAGACTGTTATTTGGTACACAGGATCACATTAGGGAGGGGCATCTGCAGTTAAAACTATTTTTTTAAAAGTGGGCGTGGTCCCGCCTCTAATAGGTTTAATGTGCATATCTCCTAAACCGCTAATGCTATAATAACAAAATTCACTGGAAGCAAATGTTTTTAGCACTTCTATTGACGGTGTGAAAATAGTTGAAATCGGGTGGCAACTCCGCCCACTCCCCATATAACGGTACTGTTAAAAACTACTAAAAGCGCGATAAATCAAGCATTAAACACGCCAGAGACATTAAATTTTATCTCTGAGATGGTATAAGATGACTTTATAGGAACCGCGTTCAAAATTAGACAGTGGGCGTGGCACAGCCCACTTTTAGGTGAAAACCCATATCTTGAGATCTGCTTAACCGATTTCAACCAAATTCGGTGCGTAACGTTCTTTTCATGTTTCTATGTTATAGTGCGAAAATGGGCGAAATCGGATTACAACCACGCCTATTTTCCATATGACACCATTTTAAATACCACTTGATTCTTTCACTTTCCACTATGCAAATCAAGCAACAATGATTATATCGGCGTAAAACTTTGCGTGAATAATACGTTTAAAGTATGCCACCTTGTGACCAAAAATTTTCTAAATCGAACCAAAAATGTTCAAGCCCCTAGGTACTGAATATGTGGACCCCAGTACCTATAGTTGACTTTTTACCGTAAATATCAGTCAATCCACAAAGAAATCTCAAACGAGTATACCATTTGACTTTGCGAGAGTATAAAACGTTCGGTTACATCCGAACTTAGCCCTTCCTTACTTGTTTATGAGTAATATTTAGTTTATCGTTTTTAACGTATCCTCAATTCAATTACGAGGAAACTAAATGCGTAAACGAACTGTTAACCGGCGATTTTTCGTTCTAATTAATTTTTTGTTCTCTTCGCCTTTTTTTTTCTTTGCGGAGTCTCTTTATGATGTAGCTAGTTTTTCTTTGTTTGGATATCACACAATCACTTCTTTCGAGAGAAATAGATATTTTCTTGCTTGCAATTAAGTTGATTAAATTTTATTGTAATTCACAATAATTAACTCTTTCTGTTGTCTTTAATTATTTTTTACTCTATTTGTTGTCGCAGATTTCATTTCCCTACTGAAAATTTAAGCCATCATTTCATATAAACAATGAAAAATTATGCAAATGGAATTTTTTGAAACTACACGTACAAGTCATTCGTATATTCTTTTTCGTTTTTATTTACGCCCGCTGGCTTTTTATCATTTTAGTTCGAAGCGCGTATGTGTTTCCAGAATATTCACTTGAACATGTTCCTTAGCAGTTTAAATAAAAACTCACATTCAAATTTCCACCGGCCTCACAAATTTTGATTACTTTTACTTGAAAATTTTGCAGACCCAAATATTTTGTTTGTACTTTTATTTTTCCGGAAAATTCACTCACATCTCACAACCGAAGCGCTCAAAGATTCTCAAACTTATAATGCAACTCCAATTAGTTTTGGAGAACGACTGGACTCAACAGGGTTGCATAGAGTGTAATTTTGTAATACATAAAAAGTACTTAAAACTGTCATTATATATTATTATAGAACAATAAAAATTTATTAACATTCGTAGTCATTCACCAATAATAAAATATAGAAAAAATGTATATATAAATTTATAGATACATTTAAATTTTGAAGTATGGCTGGTTTTGAAATATGATCTATAAAATATATATTATATATTCTCATTCCAGTAATGTATTCGTTGCGGATTGTTTTCAAGTAAAAAATTGTGTCATGAAAACTAGCAACCCTATGATGGCTCTTGGCATTGAAGAAGAAGAAGAGCAGTTTAAACAGCTGGCACTTTTATATTCCTTTTCTGCTTATTTTCGGACATGCTGACTTTGTTTATATCGGTTAGTTTGCCATGGATTCACCGAACGATTCATCTTTACGACATTTATTACAAACTACCTCTAATAATAAGGTAAGTATTTGTGTTATATATTGCGCATAATTTATTTTATGCTCTCGCAAAATTCCAGCAAAATCCGCACAACACATTGCAACCACAGCAACCTGCTACCACTCCCATCGTTGAGCCAAAGGATGTGCAGCATGAGGTCAAACTACAGCAAGTATTCTTTGTTAAAAATTGTGAGTTATACTATATTTTTTGCTTTTTCAGAAACGTCGTAGCTACGGTTTCTGTGGGTTGCGAACTAAATCTCCAGGATATCAATTTTCGCACACGCAATTCAGAATACACTCCTTCCCGCTTTCATGGTGTTGTAATGCGCATGCGTGAACCACGCTGCACGGCGCTAATTTTTCGGACTGGTAAAATAATTTGCACTGGAGCACGCAATGAGACTGAAGCAAGTTTAGGGGCTAGAAAATTTGCACGTATACTTCAAAAGTTAGGATATCCAGTGAAGTTTGTAGACTTTAAGTTACAAAATATCGTAGCGACTGTGGATCTGAGATTCCCTATACGGCTGGAAAATTTAAATCAAATGCATGGTCAATTCAGTTCATACGAACCGGAACTGTTTCCGGGTCTAATATACCGCATGGTTAATCCACGTATGGTGCTTTTAATATTTGTGAATGGTAAAATTGTATTTACCGGCGCGAAAGCACGTAAGGATATAATGGAGTGTCTGGAAAAAATATATCCCACTTTACTAAGCTTCCGTAAGAATTAATTCTGCTATATAGTGTAAACGTATTTTTTTTTAAGGTGTCGTATTTTATGTTAGCTGTATTGTCATATTGCCTGTAAAAAATATTAAGTTATGCATATATTTTATATAGTGTCAAGAAAAATATATTATCATTAAAATAAACAACAACAATTGTATTTTATTTATCTACATTGTGTACATACATACTTGCAAACGTTTATTGCTTCGTTAAGACGTTGGCATTTCGGTATTGCTTATATTGTATTTAATATCACATGGAACTGGTAACCCTGCTTTTGACCATTTGTAAAAAACTACATTGGCTCTTTAACGGAATGTTGTCACGTCAGCTGTCAAATTGGACAAAAACAACACAACCATACAAACAGAAAACGAGATACGTATCTGGCAAATTTCGTGGTTTTTCAGTTGGAAGAAAAGTGTATTTGGAATTTTATACATAAAACAAAACCATTTTGTTGTAATGCTGAGTGTAAAAAGCAGCAGAAAAGAACTAATATTTTATTTGTGAATTGTTAAAACATAAAAAGACGTGAAAATGTCATTCGTACGCACCTCGACGGGTGGTAATGAGTCGGTGCATAAATTTGTTGAGGCCTTACGGGCAGACTTTAAAACACTTTCCCTGGAAACTAAAAAGAAGTATCCATTAATAAAGGAGGTTAGAAAATTGATATACATTTATATTAAATTAATTGAGCAAAAAATTCATACATGGGCAGTTTCTAATCGAAAATGTAATGTTGTGTCACAACTGGGTGCGGCGTACGTAGGGGGTGGTGTTTGTTCATTGGAGTTATGTGTATATGCATACATATGAACATTGTCATTGTTTTTTCGTTCTCATCAATTACTGGTGTTTTCAAATATTTATATAGGTTATATTAAGTACTGGTATATATTTTGTAAATAAATCCGCATGATTTTACATACAATAGAATAGAATGTTCATGTCTTTGTTGCCTTCTCATTGAAAACTAATTCATATTCCTAATAATTTTTTCATATATATTTTTTTTATTTCTGTCAATTCAGTCATGCGAAGAGGCTATTTCCAAATTGAGTGCAGCAAGTAATAATCAACAAACTTCTGTCTACTACACGGTAAACCAAATTCTGTATCCACTTGTGCAAGGATGCGAAACCAAAGACCTTAAAATTATTAAGGTGAGTCATGTGTCATTTGCCATAACAGTTATATATAAATATATGCACGTAAATAACTATTTGTTCGTCACAAATATTGCCAACCATCTTATCAGTAACCGCTTTGTGTGTGATTACCTTTGCTAACGTTAAACTTGTATATTACAGTATTGTCTGGGCATGATGCAGCGGCTTATCACCCAGCAGGTGGTTGATCAAAAGGGTGCACGCTACATAACCGATGCATTATGGATGCTTATGGAAAATAACATAGAAGAGGTTAAGGTTTTGCAAACTGTCACGCTATTGCTAACTACCAACACGGTGGTGCATGGCGAAACATTAGCTAAATCGTTAGTTCTATGTTTTCGACTACATTACACCAAAAACTCCACCATTGTTAACACGGCAGGTGCTACTATTCGTCAACTTGTTTCATTGGTATTTGAACGTGTATACTTGGAAAAAAACTCTATGGCATCTCTACAAGGAATAAATCAAAATGCAAATAAAGAAGCGTTGGACACTGATAACAGTACTGGAGCTGGTGCTGAAATGCAGACCTTTGCAGCGGATGCTTTTTTCCTATTTCAAGTAAGTGTTTTTACATATATTTTAACTAGTGTATTATATAACGGAAACATATTTTTAGGATCTCGTGCAGCTAGTAAATGCCGATCAACCGTATTGGCTTATCGGTATGACCGAAATGACACGCACTTTCGGTTTAGAATTACTCGAGGCAGTATTAACTAATTTCAGTGCAGTTTTTCATGAGGTAAATGTTCTAGCAATAATCGTATTCACTCTATATTCAAAGATATGCTTTAAATATTTAGAATAACGATTTTCGTTTGCTGCTGAAAGAACGCGTTTGTGCATTAGTAATTAAACTATTCTCACCAAATGTAAAGCATCGCCAAGTACCGACGCCCAATAACGGCAATACGGCAGTCCCCAACGATAAGCCATATTTTCCCATCAGTATGCGTTTATTGCGTTTAGTGGCAATACTAATACAGAAGTACCACACGATATTAGTAAGTTAGGAATTTTATATAATTAATTCTTTTTGTTTGCATATCTATTTAATTTTTCGCTTTTGCTTTGTAGGTTACTGAATGTGAAATTTTTCTTTCTTTGATAATTAAATTTCTCGATCCTGACAAACCGCATTGGCAACGCGCCTTGGCATTGGAAGTCATACACAAACTGGCCACAAAACCAAATTTAATCGCTTTCTTTTGTAAATCCTATGATTTAAAAAATCATGCCACCAATATTTTACACGATATGATCACATCGTTGGGCACGTTCGTACGATATTCGTTAATAAATGCGGCAGCTTGTACGTGAGCTATATGTTATTAAAGAAAAAATTGTAAAGTATAATATATTTTTCGTTTTTTTTTTTTTAGTGCAAAATGGACAGTTGCCTGCCACTAATCAAAATAATCCCACAACTGCGCATAACTCGGGCAATCAATGTGGCTTTATGTTTCGTGGCGTTTACTTATCGCTAGTCACCAATTTTGCGCCTGGCGTGGCAAAAGCAGTCTAGTAATTTATAAATATTATATATTATTCACTACAACTAGTTATTTATAACTCAATTTTGCTTTTCATTTATAGTTTGGAGATGTTGGATAAGTTGGAGGCACCCAACATACCGGACAGTTACGGCGTTTCTGTAGCTTACGCCATACTTTTGGATGTAACCAGCTCCATTGGCTGCGTAATACAACGAACACCCGAAATGGTTTGTTGTGTATTCGAAAACCACAAAATTTTATTAATTACAAAACACTTTTCTTTTATTTTCACATTCAATGTATGTAGCAACAAGCGATCCACAATGCTGATATTATCACAGAGGAGGAACACAAGCCGCTGTGCATACAATTGATCAACTCCAGTTGGAATGGTTTACTTTCAGCATTCGTGCCGCTTATAGATGCCTCAATCGACGAAGGCACAACCGATAACATACTAAAAGCAATGCAGAGTTATGCTGCTCTCTGTGGTCTGCTAGACTTGCTTGGACCGCGTGACGCGTTTATAATATCCATGTGCCGCGCTTCTTTCCCACCGCACTATGCAGCGGCAATTTTCGCCAACAATGCACACATGGATGCAGATTTGCGTGGTAGTACAGCGATTATTAGCACACATTTTTTTTATGCATGAAAAATTATCGCCACTCTTATTCGTAGGTCATGCGCGCAGCAATAGCCAAGATTTGAACAACCAGTTCATGAACACTTGCAATGAGGGTGAATTTCGACAACAAATCGTAGCTGTGGGCACGCCATTGCCCAGCGCCTCGCTGCCGCACAGCATAATGCAAGCGCCGGTCATGTTAACCAATAAAAATCTACAGTGTATGCGTGCAATTTTGTGTTTGGCGCGCAATAACGGCAGCATACTCGGCACATCGTGGCACATTGTGCTGCAGACACTGCAACACCTGGTGTGGATATTGGGTTTGAAGCCATCCACGGGCGGCAGTTTGCAAGTGAGTGCTTTCGCGTATTTTCATATTTATATATATATATTTTTTTTTTACAACTTAGGCATTTCCAAAGCCAGCCGTTGAAGCAAATGTGGGCATACAAACGGCAGTTATGGCCGACTTGCCGGTGCTGTCACAAATGCTGAGTCAGCTCTTCGAATCCAGTCAATGTTTGAACGATATAGCGCTGCATCATCTGATCGATGCATTGTGCAAGCTTTCGCACGAAGCTATGGAACTCGCTTATGCCAA